CGCTATTGTAAATCCAACAAGTGTTGATCACGAAGCGGTCTTCTAATCGTTGTTTGGACGATGAAAAGCGGTCCACTTGAAGTTGCATCTCACCAGCAACAATTAATGTATTTACAATTCCGACTACAAAACGAAGAGGAGAAAACCGCAGACAGAGATCGATCCCGATAGCTTCTGAGCCTCAGGTGCGTATAACTAACTAACATAAAGATATTACATCTCCTGACGGTGACCATCAGCGGAGATGGAAGTGCGAACTCATCCATAGGAATCCACTGGAAAAGAAATTTTTCCGCATCTCGGTTGAAGACAATTGGGTGCATATTTCAGACGCAGCACACTCCAGTCTGCCAAAAATGCAAGAGAAGCGCCGCTGCTACCCAATGAACGAGTTCACCTGAGAAACAGTAACCTAAATCCGAGAAGTAATTCAGCTCTAAAGCGAAACCGCCCGTGCATTGTAATTTTAGGGGCAACCAACATCTGAACTTTATATACTTCAGATGCAATCGAAGGTATCGAAGTGATCTGGAAGCAATTCAATGTAAGCAGCAGTCCAGATTAAAACTGTGTCGCAGTACAAACACCGTTGCCCGCGAAGAAAAGCGGTCTGGTAATGGAGGTATCCTCTAGCAAACCGGTAATAGATCGCATTGTATGGGCGGTTAAAGCCCAGGATATAGCCTCGGTCTAGTGACACTATAAACTCAGGTGAAAAAGTTAGGAGTAGCAGCTTGTAAAAGTCAATGTTACCTAGTGAGCCGGTCGTAAGTTCGTCCTAAGACACCGGGAAATGAGAAACCAAAGTTGATTACCACTGGTATCTTTGCAATGATACAGAAGGAATTGTAGTCAAGTCCGAAAGATGAATCGCAGTTGGTAACGTAATTATCAACGCAGCGATTGGCGTTGCCAGTTACGGTTGAAACTGCCCCAGTCTAAGGAAGTTATCAGAATGGGTTGCCATACTGCTTTAAATTGAACCAGTAGTGTAGAATTAAACGTAAAACCGAGTGAGAACAAATACAAGTTCTGCAGAATGTCAGATCACCTTACGGGCGACGGGTTAAAAAAGAGATTGTAAAATCAACAAGATATCTAATATGTGCAGTTCCAACATAGAAAGCAACGCATGTAAATGGCGATATATGCGCCAGAGATTGATACTAAGAATGTGTGATCATGGATTAGATGGCAAAAGAGGTTTGCACAAACAGAGCAAACTGCACCGGAGCATTCCGATCCCCAGTTTGCGGAATGTGCTTTAAGAATTTCAAGCAAAACACTATGTCTATTTTGATGAATCGACACCACACTGTAAGTGCACAATGGCTAGAGTAGTGAGAAGCCGACCGATCGAAAACAGAAAGATGTGAAGTAGAATAAAGATACCGACAGATAAAATACTGTCTTCTTCTGAGTCCTTCGAAGGGAAGTTATCAAGGTGTACACGTGTGAGTCGGCATCAAAGGCAGCTAGTGAGTTCTAGTACTAATAAGAAACTAACGTGCTAAGCAACAGGATTAGCATTTTAACATCGCAAAATGGAAAAGCGACTGGTGAGACACTTGATCTAAACTGCATAACTCCTACCTTGAACATAGTGCCCAAAGTACCAGTGTTTGATTCCCAATGTTGCAAGGTTGGAAAAAGGCGTTCATAGTAAGAGTGACTAGGTTGGAACTACTGACGTCTCGCGAGTTTAAGTAGATACGGTAAGTACTCAGCAGCACGACAAGTGAATTGTGCATAAAGGTACAGAAGGCACTAAGGGTCCTGTGATTTGTTGTATCGTGAGAAGGCCGAGTCGTGCGTACGTGATTAATCCGACTACAGCAGAGCGTTTTTAACACGCCAGTAGTCTCCATAAAAAAAACAAAACAATGGAAGCTGAACGAGCCTTACGTCAGCCCAGAGGTGAGTTGGAATAATTAGACTGGGGCCACAAGAACCGATAGTGTAACAGAAGCAACGAGTTACTAGTAAAATAGACTACATGGTAAGCCAGAAGACAGAGTGGAAAGGATGTTATGTTAGTCACTTTTACTCCCAAGCTAGTTTGTTCCCCGCCCAGCTGCCTCATATAAAGCGTAGAAAGTTGATAGGGTAATTAACGCTACACCAACAAAATTTGTTATTAACTTGGAAAGAATTTCTCATGAATTTCGCTTTTTTAAGGTCTATTTGATTCATGCTGCAACATGCATACTAATGTGCCTTCACAGGAAACAGTACGGTCCATAAATGAACGAATATGGGAATAGAAACAGTATGGGAAAGCATTGTTTTATGAACGGAGCTGGGGGCACAACTGGTTGATAACTAGATTTATTGCGGCAACCATCTGTTGACTGCATCACGCGATGTTTTTTGAGAACTAGCTCAATGTGTGCGAAGTTCATGAGGAAGCTCGACACAAAGAGGTCTGATGTGGCAATGCAGAAAGTGCAGAGGATCGATACATGATAAAGTTCATTTGACCACGTCAGCACAGTGCTCTGAAATGCATGGTTCGCAGCCGCATGGATGTGATCAAGGTTTAAAGTATCCGAAGCCGAAGCCGAGGAACTCGTCTGCAGTCTGCAGTGATAATAAGACTCGCTATGCATCACCTACGGTGAAGCCAACGTGAATTAACGGGAAGATCCGAGGAGGTGTGCCGTTGCAGAACGTCGCGATTGGAGAAGTATCTTTGGACAAACTGGAACGTTTGCACACACAGTGCCTAGTTCAGAAATCGCCCAGTGACCTATAAAGCTAAAAATAGGGGCGAAACGTGTTTGAAACATGATGGGACAAAAACGGCAAAATCCATTCACTTGGTCACCATACTTGAGCACACGGTGCAAGAGAAATGAGAAGATTTGTGGTAATAAAAAATAGAGACGATAAGCCAAGTAGGAAGAGGGGATGTGGACGAGTAGGGAGCACAGTGGGTGCAGATAGACGTCTCAGTCTCGAGGTAGGTCACATGCTAAAACACACGCTTGAAACAAGACGTTCCACTCCAATTGTTGGCACAAGCATCTATCACGTGAACCATAGTGAATGAATGTTGGAAGCATACAATTGAGTTTAGCAAGATGGGTCAGCAGCGACGCATGTGCCAAGACATCTAGACTCACACTGCTATCATAATGAAGCCTCACGACATGAATAAGATAAACGCCTCAGCAATGTATTAGTAAATTGTGCTTATGCTTTGCTATCACGTATACGAATACGGAGATCACTGATCTCGCACCAAAGCAAATGGCCTAATTCTTCGGATAATCTCTCATCAATTTTCTACTATACTATTGACAATCCAGTGCTAGGCAGTTAGAAACGGTGTCAGTGAGACGATAGGATATGGAGATACATGGATTTGACCAACCAACCAAGCGGTATAAGGCTGGGACAGCACCACATAATCGTATAACAGCCCATAGGAGGGGACAACCGTCAAACAAGGTTATCACGTTAAGTATGCAGGGTGTCTCGAGAACAGACAATGATTTGATACTGCCGGTGATCAACAGCCTGTTTAGAGGAAGAGCGCATTACTTGTGACGAAGCGCAGCGCATCTTTATTTTGACTGATAAGTGGGCATTTCTGAGCAGCCAGTAGCGACAAATTGAAAGCAATCGATTTCGCCATAACTGTACAGTGGGAAGTGAACCCGACATGATCATCGTTGTTTGCGAAGCATTGCTGGTGTCGGATGGCACCAGCGTGTCCGCAACGATGATGTGCGTAGGCGAGTACTAGGGGGTGATGATCATGCTAGCTCCCTAGAACAACAGATAGCACTGAATAAGTTACGTTGGCTCGGGCACGTGCTACGCATGCCTGGTCACCGCTTACCTAGGAGGGTCTTGTTCAGTCTACCAGGTGCGGGATGGCGCAAGGCTCGAGGTGGACAGAAGTTGACTTGGCAGCGGGAAATGAAGTCACTGACGACCAAACTGGGTGCCGTTGGTCCGTCTCGCCTTCCGGGTTGGAGTCCACGTGACCCGGCTTGTGCTTGGCTCGAGACTTTACAGGACATGGCTCGCAACCGACACCAGTGGCGCGTCTGCTGCCGTCTCCTAATTGGATTGTCTGTTTAAAGTGTGTTTGGTGCTGAGTTATCTGCGGGGTAATGGCTGATTATGACGCGTGGCAGTGAAAGCCGCAAGGAAGCTGTCTCGTCGATGCCGCCTTATCTTTGCACGATAGCCAGCTGTTTGTGACGGTATGTTGTTAACACAAGGTGTAGGCGCCTTGACCCTGAATGTTTGCTTAGGGCATTAAGGTTTTCAGGTAAGTCCCCCTTCTCTCCCTCTTATTCTTTATTTCATAGGTCCTCATGGTTGTATGGAAGCGAAGCATCAGTTCAAATGGCTGATGTACTGCTGTTGATGATGATGATGATGATGATGAACCCGACATGGGAACGTGAACACACATGTGAAATGCTCAGGGATATGAATTCTGTGTCAAATAAGTACAGTGGCGAGATCAGTTCAAGGCAAAGTAGTGTATAAACTGAACATGTTTATACCAAATCAGAGACCGCCTGATGTCATACGACATGCTTATTAGAGTAGACATGATAAAGGTGTACCATCTGCCTCCAAACGAATTCATCCTTTTTTGTTAGCAAGCATGCTTAGTAACCGCAACTATTTTTCCCTCTATTTCAGCTCGTCACTGATCCTGTCCTGAACTGTGACATTCTACATTTCCAATGTACTACACTCAATCACACCCAATTTTCTTGCCCGTAGATATATCTTCCATCATCGTTTGTTTCTCTTACCTTCCGTGTTATTGAAAGTGTGGTTTACTGAGAGACACCAAGGACATAACGCATTTAAAGGTATAGTTAACTCAGTCAAAAGATAAAGGGTGGCCAATTTCAATAAGCGAGAGCAACAACTACCGAGTATGCGTCACTTCAGTGGCATTCCGCCATGGGTCGAAAGGGCAGGAAAATGGATTGATGAGACGGTCAGTTTTACAAAACAACACTCACTCGGGTCAAAATGTGCTCAGCATTCGACGGAAATGAGTGAACCAGTTCACCAAGCTGTTCAGCGGCAGCATATCGCAGCGAACTGTTCGGACAGTTTTCCAAAAGGGAGAAAAGGCGGTCCAATCTGAAGCGAACAAAATTTGTGGTAACTAATGGTGAGTAAAGAGTAACGCGAAGCGGTTATCAAGGATAATGAATGCAATTAACACCAACAACGATAAAGAACCTAGCTAATTGACGTGTTTGTAGGAAGCAGCTGGTGATAGGGAAGCATGAAGAGTGCGAGTGAACAGCAGCTCGGGTCAGCATCGCATACCAAATGTGTGACGGTGAATAGTAACTCGGGCATGACCTGAGTGGGTGTAGCAGAAGGAGGCACATGTAAATCCATGCCACAAGGAGGATCGGTATCAACCCGTGAAGTGAAAATTGCAATAAAAGAAAATGTGAATAAGTCGGGGCTTAAACAACGAAACAGATTTGGACACAACGCTAAACAAAATGTGCAGAGTCAGAAAAGCAGAAAATTTGGTGTTTGGAGTACTCACATGTCGTAAATATATGGCACTAGTAAGAAACTTTTGAAAGCGACATCAAGGTAAAAGTTCGGCCTGGAAAGATGTGTTATTACTAAATGTATCAATCGCACTCGAGTACTTTCGAACTAACCAACTAGGTACAAGAGGGATAATAATAGACTACTGGACCGCTGTGCAATAAAGTATGAAGATAGTTTTGTGTAATAGCAGCAAAGATGTACCTGAATCATCCTATGATGTGTAGCATTAGCATAAATACACGTTAGCTGCGAATGAGAAACACACCTTAGCTAATGTGCCACCACACAAAAAAACTTTAAAACTAAGGCTATAAAAATGTTCAAAAAGCGTAATATAAGGTTAAATACGACATTATGCATTTGAGAAGAAATCGTAACAGGACGAAGAATCTAAAGGAGAGGGGTGGACAAAGAAACTCACAACACAAACGCCATTGCAGTCGACCCTTCGCCATGTCAGCAAGTGTATTCAACTAAACGCGTCCATCGTCCTTGGGACCCCAGCCCGGCAGTCTGGATGCATCAACCGACAAGTTCGAAGTGAGAGTTTGCATTCCTCTCGACCAAGTCATCGCTTGACCATCCATCCGCCTTTTCCATCCACACTCTTGGAGCTCACAATGCACTTTACGGGAGTCGAGGTGCTACCATGCGCAACACATGGCCCAGCCATCGGAGCCTGGTGGGTGATATAACCGTGCTGCCTGGTTCATTTCTCATACCTACAACAAATACGAGACCCGAAATACGCTTATTGCACACGTCGTGCTTCCACCAGACATGAGCTAAGTTGCGAAGATGGCGACAATCAAACGATCCTAGCTTCTTCATGTCAGCCGAGCTGATATGCCAGGTTTCCAAGCCGTATAGGAGAGTTGAATGCACGGCTGCGTTGCACAGTAATTCAGGGAGTGAGTGATGTGGCACCGGTGCCACAGACGGTGGAGATTGAAAAAGCGCCTCGAGCTCTTGCTATACAGTTCGTGACCTCATCTTTGATCCCCCTGGCGCTGACATAGCTGTTTAGATAAATAAAATTTTGGACGACTAATAACTGATCACCACCAAAGGTCAGCGCAGGGGTGGGTTTCTTCCAATTGTGGTGAAGGATCTGGCGCAAAGCATAGCCCAACACCATTGACAGCCAGAGCTGGTTGGCATGTTTGAGGGCAATGCCGTCAGCATATTGCAAAACAAGAAGTCGATGACCTGGGAGCAATGCCACATCTTGTAGGCCGTGCCCAGTGAATGCAGTTTCTATAACACTGTCAAAGGCGAAGTTAAGGAGGAAAGCTGACCGCCGGAAATTTTGTCTCACAAGGCAGGCGACAGTTTGCTATTAGTCCACATTTTTCCCGAACTACACGAGTACAGCACTTTGATAATGCTCAACATTTATCGGGTACACCTTTCCGGGTAGACAGCCCAAATTTCAAATAAATCCACCGAATCGTAGACATATTTGATGTCGAGAAACAAGACTACTGTTGGTCGCCAATAAATATGTTAGTGTTATAAAAATTAACGCAAAGGGAAGATGTCAATGCAACTTGCATTTAAACAAAACCTGGCTTGCTCCTCGCGAACCTGTCATTCACGAGTGCCAGATAGTCTATACAGGACGACAGAGGCAAGTGACTTATAAACGATGGGGGTCGGACAGATTCTTCTGTGATTGCCGCATTCAGAACGTGAGCATCTCAAGAAAATTAGGACCATAACAGAACCGCTCTAGTCTGTTGGGACAAACTTGCGTCCACGCCTTCCACAATGTTTTGCAAACCATCCACAAGAACTTGCTCTCTGGATGTGAAGAGGACCGGAGGAAGTTGATCTGCGCCTGTGGTTTTAGTCAATTTCAAGTTTGATCTCACGTCCAACTTCTGCGCATGAGTGCTGATCCAAGGGAATGGCTCAGGTAGAAGAGTATTTAGTGGTCATTAAGGAAGATGGTAACCCTAAATGATTAAACTGTTTTACAAGCGGTTGGATAAGGTGTGGATTAGCTGCCCAATCTAGTCGCATATAGACTCGCTAACACCAGGACTTATGATGCCCGTTCGCCATATCAGACGGAATAATTTACTATGGTTACTAAGGACAGCGGCTGTCTCTATCGCCGATGCACGATGGGACCACTAGGCCTCCCGGTCGCTTTTCAGGCTAGAACGCAGTTTCACCTTGCCTTTGCGAATCTTGTTGTGTTCGCTTCCAGCCGGAACGCATCCGCGAGCGTCGAAAAGTTCCAGAGACTGCGCAGAGACACACAAACTCCTTCAACATGCATATCAGTAGCATCCCTATCTATGTGAAAAATCATGCGGTGGCGTTGCCGTGGACCATTCCACACTGGATTCATGGAATCACTCTTTGGGTTTAGCACCATCACGAGGACTGTGCATCCCGCCCCTCAGCAACGTTCCATAGTCTCCTGAAGCCAGTGGATAACGAGGTGGAGGGCGTTAGGCAGATACGCACCTTGTCGAAATTCCCATCAAGCGCAGCCACACCGGGCATGTTCATCAACTGGGAACACTAGAAATAAACATCAGCTCGTGATAAAGTCATCTTGATGGCATCCTGATAAGGTAACTTATGTTTTCCCATGTGCCGCTTCACTGCATGCAGTTGGCCATAAAGTGGTTGTCTCAGTATCCCGGTCGACTCCATGCGGCGAACATGCCCGAGTCACATCAAGTGCCTCAGCAGAAGTATGCAGTCCACTGTATACATGCCACTGAGTCGGAGCATCACAATGTCTGCAACTCGGTCATTCCAGCCGATGCACTGAATTCGACACAGACACTGTTGATGGAAGCACTGCAGATAGTGGACATCCATCGGATAAAACGTCCAGGTTTCTCTATCATAGAAAAGAAGGGAGAACACCATAAACTTGTATATAATCAGCTTCGTCCCAACAGTAAACTGGTGGTTGTTCCACACACGTTTTTCCAGCTTGACAAACGCGGCAGACGCCTTCGATACGCGAATGCGCCGCTCGCTCGTCATCTGCAGATCAGTAGACATTACGCTGCCCAGGTAGCAAAATCCCAAAGTATTTTCCAAAACGTCGTTGCAGAAATGGATTCGCGGCAGGCACATGGAATGCATTTCTGAAGAAGCTTGAAAAGGACAAAGGGTCTTGCTTGTGTTGATGGTGAGCCCGAATTTGGCCGCTGTTGAAGCCAGAACTTAAGACTTGTGCTGAAATTCATTCGCGCTGTGTGCAAACAACGTGCAGTCGTCAGCAAACAGCAACATACAGGTAGTTGTCTCACAGACTAAGGTTCTCGCTAAGGAACGAGGAAGGTACAGCAACCCACAATCAATACGGTGCTCCAAACAGATACCATAATCACAAACAGCATCAAAAGCGCAGGACATCATTGTGTGGATGTACATATTAAACGGCAAAGGATAAAACACAGCCTTGCTTCACACCAGAGACAACTACAAGGTCATCCGAGGTTTGTGCACATGGCTACACCCTCGCCCGAATACCACTTTGCAGACAATCATTTAAACTTACAAACTTATTCGGACAACCAAACTTACCCAACACAAGCCACAGTGACTCGCGATTCACTGTGTCAAATGCCTTGGTGAAGTCTACACACAGCGAGTACAATGGTTGGTGTCAATCACTGCATTTCTGCAACGGATAAGCCGCAAACACTATATGTATGATGCGGCGGCCCGAACAGAATGCGCAATGCTCTTCCACGACGTTCGGTTCAACAAGCTGAGTGACGAGGCGGTTCAGCGGGATTGGTGCGATCACTCTCCCCACAGAAGTTAGCAAGTTGGTACTACGATAATTTGCGCATTGTTGGCCCCACGTAACCATGTACAGCTGTAGCACAAGGGTATCCTTCAAATCACCCGACACCTCCGAGTCAAACCATACGTTGCAGCAAGTGAGGCAGCGCATTTACTAACGTGGGTTCGCCGTGTTTCTGACGTTATCTCGTCGGGCTCGACACATTTGCCGTTTCGCAGCTGAGCAAGTGCTCTCTGCGTCTCATCCAACATCGATGTGTTGGCAAGATACATCTCCATTTCTTGTTGTTGGAGCCCGTGCAACATAGGCCAGTCGATCTCTTAATGGTAGTTCAAGAGACAGACAAAGTGCTTTTGACAGAACTGTATTATTTCTACAGTCTGTGTGCAGGCAGCGCCCGGGAAGCATCGAGTAGCGTTCTCAGCGGCTCCAACGTGTGTCCATAAGCCGCTTTCAAGAAGTCAAAGAATTTCTAATGTTGGCGGCGTTCGGTGGAGCATTCTATCTGCTTCGCCTTCTCCGTCCACGATGCATTCTTTATGTGATTAGGCTCTTGAGGAAATCGCGGTTCGCGAAAATGACCTCTCTGCATCAGCAGGGTCATTCACATGTGCAGCGAAGGCTGCATTCTTCTCCGTCGTTATTGTCAGAAAACCGATCGGGCCGCTTACAATTTGTGCGCCAGATCGTTTGCTCGGCAGCAGCCGTCACTATTTCACGGATGTCATGCCACAGATCACTCACTGAGGCGATGGATTCGACAGAAAGAGTAGGAATACCG